TAAAATAAACAGAGGCTGGGCAGCTGTGGCTCACGCCTTTAATCCCAGCACTCGAAAGGCAGAGGCGGGTGGATCTCTGTGAGTTCGAGGCCAGCCTGGTCTACAAGAGCTAGTTCCAGGACAGGGTCCAAAGCTACAGAGAAACCTTGTCTCGAAAAACCTAAAAATAAATAAATAAATAAAAATAAAAAAGGAAGGAAAAAACAAAACAGGATAGACTAAATGTGGAGGCGCATTTGCGCCTTTCATCACAACGATATGGAGGCAGAGGAGGGTAGATCTCTTGAGTTCAGGACCAGCCAGGTCTACACAGTAAGACCCTCTTTCAGGCAAGCAAGCAAACAAGCACAAACAACAACAACAAAATCCAAAACAATTATTTTTTGATCAGAGTGTGATAATACAGACCTGGAATCCCAGCACTCAGATGTGAAGGGGAGAGGACTGTTGGGTCCCTAGAGGACAGGTCTTCGCACCCCCACTTGATCTGTTTTGCACTCTTGCAGTTGGTTGAAAACAGGAACAAAAACAGGAACAATCTGTTTTTTTCAGCAATGTTTCTAAGGATGTTTACCCCTAAGTCACTGAGTTATGGTGATGAGCTTCCTGCTTTTGCTGTCTTGGCCTCCCCTGCTGAGGGCTATATATACTGTGTGAGAAAGTGGAATAAAGGCTTGTCTGCAGAACCTGAAGTTGTGTTGCGTGTTAATCCCGATGTCCCTCGCTCAGAAGACCGACAGTTGCCGTGCTGGCGCGGCAGAGAATAGGTAGTTCAAAGCTTTCCTGGACAGTTGAAAGTCAGTCTTCACAACTTACTATGATTGTTTCAAAATAAAAAAAGGAAAAAGAAGGCTGGGAGTGTCTGTCAGTAGTAGAGACCCTGCTTAGAATCCCCCAGCCCCTGAGCACCTGCCTAGAATCCCCCAGTGACGGGCTGGACCTAGTGGTAGGTCACACGTTCAGAACAGGAAGGTCTTAGTTTCAATACCTAGAATGGTCAGTTCTAAATCTCTGACTGCTCCAATTTCAGGAAGATATTTTTTCCCATTTAGATCATAAAACAAATGATGCTAATTATTTATTATTGTGTGGTATGTGGGTCAAAGTCATTGATTGTTCTCCCATATGGATATTCAGTTGATTCAGTGCCATCTATTGAAAAGGCTTTCTCTTCTCTACTTAACCTCAATGTTATTTGAACCTAGCAACCATATGTGTATAGGTTCATGAATGGGTTCAATGGAACTACCACTGAGCCACGCCCCAGCCCCTCACTGGGGGATTCTAGGCAGGGGCTCTACCCCAGCCCCTCACTGGGGGGATTCTAGGCAGGGGCTCTACCACTGAGCCACGCCCCCAGTCCCTCACTGGGGAATTCTAGGCATGGGCTCTACCCCAGCCCCTCACTGGGGGGATTCTAGGCAGGGGCTCTATCACTGAGCCACACTCCAGCCTCTCTGACAAATAGATGCAGGCTTGAAACTAACAGAAAGCTTAGTGAACTCTCAAGGCTATCTCCCCTTCCTGGTCCTCTGTCTTCCTTTGAGAAGGGTCTTGATATTGCATGTAGCTCTAGCAGGCCTGATATTTGTAGACTAGGTTAACATTGAACTTGTGACAATCTTCCTATCAGTAGCCCTCAAAGTCTGGGATTATAGGTGTGAACTTCCCATTTGTAAAGAGGAATTTGGAGTTGACTTGATGGTGTGGAAAGTCCTGTATATGTGTTGCTTTTATTGGTTAATGTAGCTGCCCTGGCCTGTGATAGGGTAGAGTAGAGCTAGATGGAGGGGGAAACTAAACTGAATGCTGGGAGAAAGAAGGTGGAGTCGGGAGACACCATGTAGCCACCGCCAGAGGAGAAAGACGTGAGCTGCCAGCTGGAAACTTGCCGGCAGGCCACAAGCCTCATGGTAAAATATAAAATAAGAGAATATACTTAAGTGATTGGTCAATCAGTGATTTAAATAATATAGTTTCTGTGTGATTATTTTGTGGTCTGGGCAGCTGGGAACGAACAAACAGCCTCCCACAACAACTTGAAGGTTGTTTTTTTATTTTCAATAGATTCTAGAGAATCTTGAAATTGTAGAAATTCAAGATTGAAGGAACAAAATTGTGATGAATTCTCTGTTTTGTTTTGTAATTTTATTTTGATAATACTCAACATTCATGGAAACCTACCCTAGACCACATGGATGGTGATCTCATAAGGGACAATGTTGTGGATTTGGGAATTTCTGATCACAATCTGTTAGTATGAAGCACAAATCAAAACTGCAAATGCCCAAGGTGGGAGGTATATGTATGTAAATGGTAGAGCCCCTGCCTAGAATCCCCCAATGAGGGACTAGGGGCGTGGCTCAGTGGTAGAGCTCCTGCCTAGAATCCCCCAATGAGGGACTAGGGGCGTGGCTCAGTGGTAGAGCTCCTGCCTAGAATCCCCCAATGAGGGACTAGGGGTGTGGCTCGGTGGTAGAACCCCTGCCTAGAATCCCCCAGTGAGGGTCTGGGCTGGGGTGTGACTCAGTGACAGAGCACTTTCCTAGAAGGCTGGAGGACTAGCAGAAAACTTTCAATTGTGGCTAATAGTTTCCTTCTCCTCCTCCTCCTCCTTCTCCTCTTCCTCTTCCTCTTCTTCCTCCTCTCCCTCCTCTTCCTCCTTTTCCTCCTCCTCTTCTTCTTCTTCTTGTTTTTCAAGACAGCTTTTCTAAGTAGCTATGGAGCCAGTTCTGAAACTCACTCTGTAGAATAGCCTGGTCTTGAAGTCACAGAGATCTGCCTGCCTTTGCCTTCGGAGTGCTGGGGCTAAAGGTGTGCGCCGCCCCCACCCAGCATTAAATTGTGACTAATATTATTTTGGGATGTAACTGTATGTGCTAAGCTACTGTAACAACTAGAGACAAATGCACATGCTGGAAAGGGTTCTGAAGTTTATTACCTTCTGGATGGTCCTGAAGTGAGCAGCCTGTGCTAGGGTGCCTCCAACAAGGTACTTAGTAAATTCCTTTTTATCTTGTGTTCTATGGCCTGTGGCTTTCTAGCCTGTAGGAGTTGGGAACAGAATAGGAAAGCCAAGATGCAATTTTTTTTCTTTATTTTCAGTTACAGACTCACCAGAAGTCAAAAAGATGGAACAGACAGAAAGTGATCAATAGCTGCATTTATAATGAGCAGAGGGCACTTGGGGGGCCAGGCAAGGGGACTGCATGAACTGAAGGGCAGGTTGTGCCTCAGCGTGAGATCCTGTCTTAGAAAACCAAATACGGGGCTGGAGAAGTGATTCAGTGCTTAAGAGCACTGCCTGCTGGTGCAGAGGACCTGGGTTTTGTTCCTAGCACCACATGGCAGCTCACAGCTGTCTGGAAGTCCAGATGCATGGGATTCCACTCTGTCTTCTGTCTCTGCAGGCACCAGACATGCACTTGGTACACATACATAGGCAAAGCAGTCATATGCATAAAATTTAAAAATATTTTTAATGATTAAATATGCAAATACTCAGTGTAGTCACCACATTAACCAGGTAGTCCATGTCCAATTATATCGAGTTCTCACCTTGTTTGAGGCCTCACTTTCTTTGTGACCATGATTCACAATATCAAGTGGAAAATTCTAGAAATAATGACATTATAGTATACATTTCTTTATACCACATTATTTTTCCAGTTTACTCAATTCATTCATTCATTTATTATGTTTTGTTTGCTTGCTTGTTTTGAGAGAGGGTCTTTATATGTAGACTAGGCTGATCTCTAACTCACAGAGATTCATGTGCCTCTCCCTCCTGAGTGCTGGAATTAAAGGTGTGCTCCAACATGCCTGGTAGTCATTTTTTTTTTTTCCTGAGTGGTGCAGTGAGGTTGAGACATTGTCTTAAACAGTCAAGTCTGGCCTTGGACTTCCTCTTCTGTGCCCCACATTCTGGGACTACAGGTACAAGTCATTAGGCCAGCCTGTAAATTCAAACTTTAAAACCTTTTAGTTTCAACCTAGGCATGGTAGTCTGTAGCAGGCCTCTCTTTGGATCATCATCTCCTGAATAATGACAAGGAGAGTTTTTATTACTTACGAAAGCCTGGCTTTATCTTAGGCCGGTTCCCGACTAAGCTCTTAAAACTGAAGTTAATTCGTTTATGCTAATCTACATTATGCCATATGGCTTGTTACCTCTCCTCAGTACCATATGCCCGACTTCCCTTGCATCTGGTTGGCAAATCTCCAGCCTCAGATTCTTTCCCAGAGTTCCTATCTCTAACCGGAAGTCCCGCCTATCTTCTCCTGCCTAGCTATTGGCAATTCGGCTCTTTGTTAAACCAATCAGAAGGTGTCTTAGGCAGGTAAGGTAAAACAGAGACACATCTTTACACAGTGTATGAAAAGATTATCCCAACAGTGGTCCATGCTGGGGATCCCGAGAGAGACCAGGCAGGGAATGGTGAGTTCAAGACCAACCCCATGCTATACAGTAAGAACCTGTGTCAATAAATGAATACATAAGTAAATATAAAATATTTGAAGTATAGCTCACATTACAAGATGCTACATAAAGAGAAACAAAAACATCCAAGCTTAGTGTTCATGCTTGTCGTCCCTGAATTTGGGAGGCAGGAGAACTGAAAATTTAAGACCAGTCTCAAAGCACTTTCAAAGCCAGCATGGATCACATGAGGGAAAAAAAAGTGGGAAAGAAAGAAAAGTGAGCTAGAGACATGGCCAGTAGAGTGGCCACTCCAATAATAGATGGATAGATGGATGGATGAAGTCAGTTAGGATAGCGAGCCAGGACGATTTCCCGTGGGGATGGTATTTTAGGAAACATGTGCGAACAGGTGTGTTGTCACTGGGCACGCAGTAGCAGGTCGTGGGAGGCACCCACGCAGGAAGAGGTGCCAGGGCCCCCGTCTTGGGCCAGTAGAAGATTGGAGGGTGGTGGAAGGGACGCTAGACGTAGATGAGCGAGTCCTAGCAAGGCTGAACTCAATATTTGTTTCTTTCAGATGAGCGAGAGGCTGTGCAGAAGAAAACCTTCACCAAGTGGGTGAATTCGCACCTCGCCCGCGTGGGCTGCCACATCGGGGACCTCTACGCAGACCTTCGGGATGGGTTTGTGCTTACTCGGCTCCTGGAAGTGCTGTCCGGGGAGCAGCTGGTGAGGGCGGCCTCAAGGGCTGGGGGAATAAGGGCTGGATTCTAATTAGGGCCCTGGCTGAGGTACAGTTAGAGTCCTACAGGGCACGGTGGGCAAGCAGTCCCTTAGTCAGATAGGTAAGGGCAAGGGGCAGTTGAAGAGGTGGCCTCTTTCAGAGCCCCATGGAGAGGCGGGGCTTTTTGAAGGAGGTGGGACTCTTACGAGGATGGGGTGAGGCTGGGGGTGTTTCCGTTGCAGGGGGCGAGGCTCCAGAGAGAGGAGATGCTTTGTAGGGCAGGTAGAGCCAGGTTGGAGAGGTGAGGCTCTAGGGAGGGGTGGAGTTGGCAGTGAAGAGAAGAGCTTAGAAGGGACAGCCAGGTTGGGAGGTGGCAAGGGGCATGTCTGTAAAACAGGAAAAACTTGGAAGCCCAGGTCAATTGAGGGAGGCTGGGTGGGGGGTGGGGGGGACTGCAGTTGCGGGGCAGTCTAGGTTGGTAGGGTGAGACCAAGGTCACGGATCTCTGGAGACAAAGGCAATATTGTATGAATGTCTTGATGTATGGACTGGGGCTGTGCTTTGGGGTCTGATGAGCCGCATCCCAATGTGATTATGATGGGGCGGCGTGTACAATGAAGGCCTAAAGCTCAGGACTCTCAGGGAGTTGTGTGGGGCGCAGCTATGTAGGAAAAAAGCCCAGTGACAGGAATTGAGCTACTGACAAGAAGGAGGAGGGGTCCTATGGTATAGCACCAAAGGAAGGGGTAGGGCTTCACGATGAGAGTGTAGCCAGGTGAATCACAAAGGGTCATTCACTTGAAAAAACAAGTGTTGAAACAAAAATTAAAAAAACAAACCAACAGCAACAATAAGGGCTTGTGGAGATAGGGGGAGTGTGAGATTGCATCTTACCCTGCAGTCCCGGCTAGCTTGGAACTCTGTAGCCCAGGCTGGCCTTGAACCCCCAGCGAGTTTCGCACGAGATTGAAGGGGCGTGCTATGAGCGAGGCAGAGCCGAGGGCTCCTTGCTCTTGGCCAGGTCCCCATCACTCAATGTCCCTGCTGCCCTAGCCGAGGCCCACTCGCGGTCGCATGCGGATCCACTCGCTGGAGAACGTGGACAAGGCCCTGCAGTTCCTGAAAGAACAGCGTGTGCACCTGGAGAATGTGGGGTCACATGACATCGTGGATGGGAACCACCGGCTGACGCTGGGGCTGGTCTGGACCATCATCCTGCGCTTCCAGGTGATCCCCCATGTTCTCCTCCACCCATACCCCACACCCCCAGCACAGTCTGCTGCCCACCACAGGGCCTTAGGAGAGCACCTCCCCCAAAATTTCCTCCCATTTTCCAGGAACTCTGTAACCAGGTGGTGGTAATGAAAACAATGGTATCAATTAGTTGTGATCGCCCTTACTGCTGTAACCATATCTACACTGGTACTTCCGCACTCTGTTCTAAACGTTGACATTTAATACACACAGAACCTTAAATTAGGTAGCGTTAATTAGCTCACTTTACCAGTGAGGAAAATGGTGTTTGTTTTTGTTTTTTTGAGACAGGGTTTCTCTGTTGCTCTGGAGCATGTCCTAGAACTTGCTCTGTAGACCAGGCTGGCCTCAAACTCACAGAGATCTGCCTGCTTCTGCCTCCTTAGTGCTGGGATTAAAGGTGTGCTCCACTACACCTCATTGGTGGGTTTTTATGTGTGTGTGAGAGGGGCATGCGCATGGAGGCCAAGGGACAGTTTTCAGGACTCAGTACTGTGCATTGCACCATATGGGTCTTGAGGAGAGAACTCTTGGGTTGTCAGGGTTAACAGCAGGTGCCTCTACCTGATGCACTGTCTCAACAGCCAAATTATTATTATTATTATTATTATTATTATTATTATTATTATTGGGAGTTTTAAGACAGGCTCCCACTTGTAGCTGAAGCTGGCCTCAGATTCTCGGTGATCCTTGTGACCTCAGTCTCCAGAGAGCTGGGGTCTCCACCCAGCATGATGGATTTAATATTCTGAGTTACACGGAGCTGGATGTTGGAGCTGCGGCTCAGATCAGGCGATCTTGCTCCACTAAGGAAATGAACAGGCAGAATCAGCTTTTATGGAGCTCACACTGTAATAAGAAAGACAGGCAATAAACAAATGTATAGATAGCAGGCATGTAGGGAGAGAGGAATATCTTTAGGCGGAGGAAATTACTCTCCTCTCACCCCAGATGACCTGCTTCTAGGTCCCGAGTTGGGAGGGCAGGGCTGAAGAGGAGGGTTGTTTCTAAAGCTTTACAGAAACCAACGATGCCATGCAGGGAAGCAGAGCGTTTTAAAGCAGCCCAGGGCTGTGAAATACCACGTGAGTGTTGCTGAGATCTTAGACATGGTGACCAGAAAGTGGCTGAGATGCTGACAGCTGCATTCCATACAAATATGAAGGGTGTGCTGGGCACAGGCACAGCCGGTGATAAAGCCCCTACCTAGCATGCGTGAGAACCTGACTTCAACCCCAGAAGGGAGGGAGGCAGAGATGCAAAGGCTTTGAGGTGGGACTAGCTTTGACTGCTGGAAGTGGCGAAGAACACTGGGGTTAGTGACCAGGATAACAAATTCAAGGACTCTGTAAAAATAAATAAATAATAAATAAATAGAAAACTGGGATATAGTTTAGTGATAGAGCCCCTGCCTAGAATTTTTCAGTGAGGGGCTGGGGTGTGGCTCAGTGGTAGAGCCCCTGCCTAGAATCTTCCAATGAGGGACTGGGGCTGTGTCTCAGTGGTAGAGCCCCTGACTAGAATCCCCCAGTGAGGGGTCAGGATGTGGTTCAGTGGTAGAGCACCTGCCTAAAATCCCCCAGTGAGGGGTTGAGGATGTGGCTCAATGGAAGAGCTCCTGCCTAGAATCCTCAGGGAGGAGTTGGGAGCATTGCTTAATGGAAGAGACCCTGCCTATAATTCCCTAATGAGAATCTAGGGGCATGACTCAGTGGTAGAGTGCTTGCTTAGCACATGGGAGGCCTGTGATATAACCTGAGAGTTCCCAGTGTCACTCCTTGTACCACATGGGGAGCTGATGTACATGGGAATTAACATGAAGTCCACCACACTGGCCTAGACAGGGGAGGACAATGGCTGGAATCACAGAAGTTACCCACACACAGTTTGCTTCAGGAAAGTAAGACCTGAACTGACCTCTTCCTCCCCAGCTTTTGGATGCACCAGCCCACTGCCAAAGCATCCTCACAGTCCTGAATCCTGCCAGCTTCCCCTGGCACCACCAACCTTCAAAAGCAGGAGGGGTAGGGCCTGAAATCGTGTTTGTCTGTTCACAGATCCAGGTCATCAAAATCGAGACAGAGGACAACAGAGAGACCCGCTCAGCCAAGGACGCTCTGCTCTTGTGGTGCCAGATGAAAACCGCTGGGTGAGCACCCCCTTCTCACAGCCAGGTGTGCCTGCAACCTTTGGGGTTCCTTCCAGGACAACAGCTTAAGGAGGAGCACATGTCCTTTGTCAAAATTTTTTGTCCAAAACTGGTAAACTAAACATGTCTCTGACCTCGGCGAACAAGCTTTCTAAGAAGCCACGTTGAAGAGCAAAACCAGCAGAGGCCTTAGGAAGTGGCGGAGAAGCTGGGGCCAAGCTCAGCTCAGAGACTGCTTGCGTTAGAGTACCAAGAGCCTGAGTTTGATTCCAGGTCTGCCAAAAAAGAAAATCCAAACTCCCCGAACAGCATGCTGACAGAGGTGGCTGTCCCTGCCTGCTCCTGTCCCTCTACTCCCACTTCCTCCCAATCTTACCACTCAGGCACCTATGTGCACCCCCGGCCTATGTCCAAGTTCTGGTCACCTCGCTCCTGTCAGCTGTCACCCGTCCATGTAGGACACTGCAGCCCGGGCAGTGGAATTCAAGGTCCTTCTGCATGATTGAGATGGTGGCACAGGCTGCAGGCTGTAGTGTGGCCTCTTTAGACCCCCAGCTTTGTGGTCTGTGAGGATCATGGCACATATTCCAGTGCCCCATGGAGAGCAGGGTCGGGGAGCGGGAGGAACAGATGGGAGGGAGGTGGGCTTTGTGTGCCTTATCCTTCTGGACTGTGTCATGTGAAGCCATCTGTTTCTCCTGTCTGTCTTTACCTCAGTCTGCTTTTCCTTGTATCGCTCTTACCCATCCTCTGCTTGCTTCTTTTCCTTCCACTCTCTTGCCTTCCTGTCTCTCTCCCCGCCATTGTCTCCCTGCCTCTGCCTCTGTCTCATTCTCCCTCTCTTTCCTCATTACCTCCCATTTTTTCTCATTTGCTTTCTTTCTTCATGTCCCTGGGTCTTCTCTTCTATATATACTATTTATCCTATCTGTCCATCCATCATGCATCCATCTACCCACCCATCCACCCATCTACCCATCCACCTATGCACCCATCAGTCCATCCACCCACCCATTCAACCGTCCATCCATCAATCCATGCATCCATCCATCCATTTATCCATCCATCAACCCACCCATCCACCCACCCATCCACCCATTCACCCACCCATCCATCCATCCATCCATCCATTCATCCATCCATCCATTTATCCATCCATCCACCCATCCATCCATCCATCATCCATCCATTCACCCACCTATCCACCCATCAGTCCATCCACCCACCCATCCATCCATCAATTCATGCATCCACCCACTCACCCATCCATTCATCCACCCATCCATCCATCAATCCATGCATCCATCCATGCATGCATCCATCCATTCATCCACCCACCCACCCATCCATCCATCCCTTGGTCTTTCTATACCCATTGAATACCCACCTTTCTCTTTGTCACTCCTATCCTTCCCTCTTGATTCATCTCTGCCTCTGTCTTTCCCTTCCCTACACCCAGTTACCCTGAGGTAAACATCCAGAATTTCACCACCAGCTGGAGAGATGGCCTGGCCTTCAATGCCCTCATTCACCGTCACAGGTACCACCCTGCTCTGTCCCCTGCCCCCACATCCTCAAGGCCACACACCTGCACACACACATACATACACACATATGGATGACACAGAAAATCTACCTCTTCACCTTTACCCCTTCAGTTTTTCACAGAGCTACAGAGACCCTTGTCCAGGCCACAAATGCAGACACGTGCACTTTGCACAGATGAGTGTCCATGCAAAATTATCTATGCACATATACACCCAAAGAGGGGGACTCAATCCCGGTTGTCTCCATTTATTTTCTATTGCTGGGATGAAACACTAAAATCAGTTTAGGAAGGGAAGGGTTGTTTTATCTTACAACTCTCAGTTCACACTCCGTCACTGTGAGAAGTCAGGGCAGGAACACAGGGCAGGAGCCTGGCAGAAGGAACTGAAGCCGAGCGCGGGTTACTGGCTTGCTCCTCATGGCCTGCCTGCTCAGCTGCTTTTCTTATACAGCTGAGGACCAGTTGCTCGGGGATGGCACTGCTCACAGTGGGCTGCGCCCTCCCACGTCGATCTTTAAGCAAGAAAATAAGGTCAGTCTGACGGTTGTATTTTCTCAACTGAGGCTGCCTCTTCCAGACGACTCTAGCTCGTGTCAAGTTGATAAAACACTAGTTGGCACATGAGCGGACACCTACAATGCCTTGTATTTACCAGTGAGGGACTAGACACGCACAGCCAGGATGGGGTACCCTCTCCTGCTGCACTGTCCACTCTGGAGCATACATCGTGCCTCTACACCCTCCCCAGAGCCCTGCTTCCTGGGTTCCTTCATTCATGCACCTGTCCCCAAGGGTCTAGCGCTAAACAGGCTCGGGTTTGAGTGTCCAGAAAAACGACACCCACACCGTAAATTTCCAAGTGACAGACTGGGGAAGCTTCCAGCCTAGAGTCTGGAAGGACTTTGCTCAGGTGCGGCGGAAACCAGTGCCCGGTTTCTCCTGGCGCATGCACGTGCTCCCTCACAGTCCCCACTCTCACACATACGTGGAGAGGTCCGGACACCTTCCCCACAAGGAAACTCACACACTGTGACTGGATCATGTTTACCAGCAGGTGATGCTTACGAAACGCCTTTTATGTCCCCAGTCCCATCGCGTTGCTCTGTGTGAGCCCTTTTACTATTCGCCGACCCCAGCAGGCCTTTGCCATTATTTGTAACATGAGGGGGCCGCCTTGTTGGGGTATCTGTCCCGCTCAGTA